GACCTTTAAGTTTGGTATTTAAAATTATTTAATACAATCACTCATAAAATGGTTTCTTTTGATGTAGCTTCTCAAAAGTCGAAGCCCACTTCGATATGACACAAAACGTAAAACAATCAAATTTCAATGTATCCTTTTTTCAGGCAAATGTGCTTCAAACGAATGAAGCACTTTCTATCATTTAAGCTCGATTTGTGTGTAATTATGTGTTTGTAAAAGTTCGAAAGACTCCTTTTGATATGTATATTGAAATTGTGGTTTTCAATTCTAAATATTTGTATTTATTGATTGTATTGAATATAAACACATCGGCGAATTAAAGAAATAAAAAAAAAACAACAAATCGGCTTTCAAAGTTCGCCCATTTTCGATAATTACATTTAATGGCGTGGAAAATGTGTGTGTGTGTGTGTGTGTACAAAAGAGAAAGAAAGAAAAAAGAAAGTGAGAGAGTTCAGAGTTTCATTTTCTTCATATAATTTTACTGAAAACATGTCTAAATCGTTTCAAAGTTTCTACAATTCTTGTTCTGTCTCATCGGATGCTTTTTATTCTTTCAAAAATTATAATTCCATGTAAAAAGTTTTGTAACAGATAATCACTTTGCGCTCCCTTCGGTTTTTTCTTCTTCATTGCTTCTCTCATTCACACAACTTTTCTCGGATAACTCTGTTTTTCACGTCGAAAAAGAGTATTTCGTTTAAATTTCGTTGAATATTTGATGTTGTTATGCGAGCGGCTACGCGCTTTTAACACACTCACGATCAGAGCGAACCAAAAAAAATCATTGGCAATTGCATTGAAAACGATTCGATTTTCATTTTCGTGTGAATATTTTACTTTTTTTCGTTGTTAATGCCTATTATTACTCGGTTATTGTGATTTTTGTGTGATATTCAAAACAAAAAAAACTTTTTTTATATTGTCCAACCCAAAATTATCGACTCGAAATGTGGATTGAGTGTTCTCCCGTCGAAAACGTATGACGTGCGGCAAGAAAAGTTGAACTGAAAATCCCTTCAGTAATAATACATATATATCCGAGCCAAATTTGAAATTCATAATGAATTATTTATGAGTTTTTAATGCGCGCTCTGAAAATGTTGCGACGGCTGCTGTTGCTGTTCGGTGAGAGTTAGACTAGCGCTTTTTTCCTCGCGTAATTTTTTTTCTGTGCTACTAATTTTCTGAAATATTCGTTCAAAAACTCAATACCGGATCAGAAATTTTTTGTTTACACACAACGAACGCACTAGAATGAAAATGGCTCTTGTACGTGGGGGTTGGGAGGAGAAGAAATAATTGCGATAGAAAAAAAATAATTAGCGATTGAGAGAGTCAATTAGTTTATTTGCTGCTTGTTGTTATTATTGTAGCTGTTCAAAGAATATAATAATATCTCAATGAAAATGTACATGACTATTGCTTATTTATACACTCATCAATAACATATGCATGATTTATTGACATTTTAGATTTAAAACAAAAAAAGAGTAAAAACTACGATTTGGGCTAATGCACAAAATAATAAAAAAATCAAAAGTCAAAACTTATGAACGGATCCAATTGAAAATGATTATTTACAAGATTCATTTTATTTATATATTAACTATGACTTAAATTAGGTGTTGTGTTTTCTCATTAGATTTGAATATATAGTAATTTGAATGATGAGAGGAATGCTTAATGTTGATAGAGGTTCATCTGTCGAATCATCGACCTAGGAAATACCTTATTTTTTTGTTCGAAATTTTATGGCATCTTTGAATGCACTCTTTGAAATGTTTCGTATAAAAAATGTGTTTACACTCTTTTCTACACTTATGGCCAAGGTTGTTTTACACGGAAATTTTCTTAGTAATTAAATTGCACGTATTTGCAAAACTAAATCAATCGAACCGATCAATGGGACTTTTTGCTTTAGAATTGAACTTTTTTTTATTCTCTTCCACATTTTTGTGTTTTTAATTTACATAATTGTTTATGCTTGAATGGAGCAAAGCCGGAAAAAATAGTGTCGTTCAAATTAAAATGTCCGCAATCAACTCTAACTTAATGCTATAATTATAAACGAGTTCTTTTATTTCAAAAGTTTGACCACTACTTAACACATAATCGTTTCTTGTCACTTCTTAGAGAACCGAAAGAATTTCATTCTTTAACTGATTTAATTAATCGGTTTAATTTACCATTTACAAATGATATACACAATGATTGTTATTCCCGGCCTTAATTTAAATAATTCGAGCTTGTTGACCAAAACTAGGTTTCATCGAAATGGTTTTCGAATACTTTTGTGTACGGAAAATCGGTGAAATCATTTTGAATCAGGATTTTATTGGGTGTTTTCAATTTAAACGGAAATTTAAATACGTGGTCGATTTCAATGAAAGTAAATGACGGTAAGTAGATAATGACGATGTTAGAATTCGGAAATTCGAAAACAAACAATCACATTAATATTCAACATATTGAATGATATCGATGACGAAATATCAACTAACAAAAAATGTGGGAGATAGAGATAGAGACTAAACGATGAGGTTCATAATTAATTTCGGTCGAAAGAACAAAAATGGATCTCTTTTGCTTTGTGCGGCAATATCTCGTTAAAAATTCATTTTTATTCGGCTTCATTTCGGTGGTTGGTGCAAGTGTGAGCACAACCCAATCACAAAATAATCGGTGACATTCGATATCCTTTAAATTATGGTTGAAAAACATGCACACATACATATATAGAGGAACTATATCGAAAGTGATACATACAGAAGATATGATCATTTATCGAATATCATTCATTACACTGCTCATGGACAATTGTCCATTACCGTAAAGCATTGTTTTTTTCTCTTCTGAAATTGATTCGATTGTTATTTCAAGCTATTTTTCTTTTTTTGACTCGATAACCACTCTGGTGCTCTGTCTGCCTCTTTATTATTTCATCTCACTCACTCTCTGTATGTGGATTTTTAGGGGGGAGGGAGGCATTTTTTTACTTGATTATTGTTTTCTGTTCACGTACAATTATTTAATATCAATTAAGTGACTCTACGAATGATTGACGGTCAATGTGTGTAAAGTACATGATAGACTTAAACGATATGTATTGAAATAGTTGAGAATGAAAAAAAAAATCCGGTTGAAACCAACAGAAAAAAGACAATAACCAAAAATGACGTGGAATAAAGAAGAGGGACAGAAAGAGCAATGTAACGCACATCGTTCTATTAATTCGATAATTTAATGACCTCAATTAGTTAATTTAGTTTGACTGATACAATTTTTATTTCGGCTTTTATCTGCTAATATTATTTTATTTGTTGAGTATTCTTTTTTTTCTCTAGCTTTAACACATGCTGATGCACAGATTACACTAAGTTATTTTCATAAGTCTTAAATTCTATTTTTTACATTAGTGACTTGGTGAAATGTTTTTGTTCTTTTTTTTCGTTCGCTGTTGTTTTTTTCTCTCTTTAACTTACGCCTATAACTACAAATACACTGTGACATTCTATATTTGTAGACACACGAAAAAAGTTTATTTTTGAAAAAAAATCTCAAAAGATGGCGCGCTCGACAACGTTCAAAAACGTTCAAGTGTCAAACATCACTTATGTCATGTGTGGCATTGTTTAACGCGCCATAAGTCAAATTCTACAATGGTTACTATATTTATCATTTGTAGAATTACTATGAATTTTCGTAGTAAATTTACAAATATATTTGAAGTCTACGTGTTTGTAAAATTACTACGGAGATTCATAGTAAATTTACAAAAACGTCCAATTTTCATAATTTGTAAAATTATTATGAAATTTTGTAGTAAATTTACAAATGATGTAAATTGGACGATTT